GGGAAAAAAAGGGGAAAAAAAAAAAAAAAAAAAAAAAAAAAACACATCTTAGTAAAACCAATACCTTCTCAGCTTCGCATCGAAGCTAAAACTAAAAAATATAAAAAATATTCAACTCAAAGCCACAAAAAATTAATGAAAAGTCGCGGATACATATTTCAGAAACAATGTTACCATTATAAACGCTAAACACATACTGACACCCCGACTAGAAAAAACTCCCTTATATACCCCTAGTGACCTTATCACCCAGTGACGTCATCACTAAGTAATATTATCACATTTTGCCAGTTTACACAAGTTTAATAATGAATTTTTCAGTGGGCCAAGATCCCAATTAATTAAATTGTTTTTATTTTTAAACATTTCTATTGCTTCTCTGATATTAAGTTCTTTGTAATTATTTACGTTTTTAATTAGTTTTATGGTTTTAATGGAGTGATTATGTGTCAATAAATGTTCAGCCACTGGAGATTTCTCAATTTCTTGATTTTTAATATTTCTTAAGTGCTCTTTAAACCTGACCCCTATATTTCTTTTTGTTTGTCCTACGTAACATTTATTACAACTTTCACATTGTATTTTATAAATGCCCGATTTCCCCCCTTCATCTACCTTATCTTTAGGGTTACCTAATAAATCTTTTAAATTATTACTCTTAGATGTTACCAAAGTAATACCAAAATTCTTAAATATTTTAGTTAATCCATTTGAGATGCCCGGATAATATAAAATTGGTGATCTAATTACTTTTAGTTCCCCCTCGAAGGTGAGTGTACTAGCTGCCCTCCTTTCTGTTTTCCACTTTTGTGTTCGGACTAATTTTGAAATTATGTTTTCGTTATACTCATTAAATTTAGCTATTTCTTTTATAATTTTCTTTTGATAATTCTTTATCAAAATCTATTTTTTTCATCGGAATATTAATTAATCTGTAAACCATACTATTAAAAGCTGACAATTTGTGTTGCCAGGTGTGGTTCGATGTGTTCGGAATGTATCTGAACGTGTGTGTGTTTTTCCGATAAATTTCAAAATTTAGTTCCCCCTCTGTTCTTTTAACTAATAAATCTTAAAAATACACCATAAGTGTATTTTAAATTTGTTTCAAACCTACTCATAAAAAGTTCTGCTAAAAATGGTGATAGCGGATTTCCAATTGCTGTGCCCTCAGTTTGCTCATAAAATTTATTTTGAAACTGAAAAACATTTTGACTCATACATAACTTTGTTAAATTAATAAGCTCATTTATTTTATCCTGTTCAATGTTTTATTCCTTTAGCCAGTCTTTAAGAAAATAAATTGTTATATTTATTGGAATATTCGGAAATCAGACTACTACGTCAAAAGAAATTAACCTGTCATTATTTTGAATGGTAATCGACTAAAATCGTGTGATATTTTAGTTACGAGTGTTAAATAAAATTTTCTTATAATAGTAATGATGAATAATACTATATTTGTTTTATTTTTTTAATTTTATTCTTTACACAAAACTAAAATTTATCATTTTTTAATTATAAGTACTATATTTTAAATTTAGTTTAATTAATCTTGTAATTTAATTGTAACAACTAAAATTAATTTCTTATTCATAATATTCCATGGTGTCGTCTATGAGTTACTTTCTGTCTTAAGAATAGTTTTTAATCTATTGTGTTTTTTGAACTGCTGCATGATAATAATTTTGATAAAGAAAAAGTAGAAGATGATGTAGAAGAAGATGACTTTTCTTGAATGTGAAGATTTATATATTTATACATATCATTTAGACCAAAAACTACAACTAAAAATAAATTTTGTTAAATTAATGAAATATTATTCAATATTTTATGTAATGATATTGTTATAATTCTATAGGAGTGCACAATATAACAAAAAACCCAGCACGGTGAGGTCGCGGCACAGTGAGGACGTGGCATAGTTCGGTCAAGTATAATAATATCTGACAGTGATTAAAGTGATTATTATAATCATAAAAAACGCTTGAATGCAAATCTGTATATATTATTTAATTTTAAAAATTGGTCGATTATTCCAAAAGCTTCAAGATCTCTTATTTCCTTATTTGTTTATTGATTACAAGTTTTATTATTTATAAGTGTAATATATTTATAATATATAAAGGGAAATAGTTTATTTAATAAAAATATGCTGAATGAAAGTGGTATATAAATAGTATTTATCATAAAAAAATTGTTTTGATCCATATATTTTTCAAAAAGTTAAAACATTATTAAATAAAAAAATACTTTCTTTATTTAAATCTTATTTTAGCTTTAATGCGATGCTGAGAAGTTGTTAATTTTACTTTGATGTGTTTTTTTTTTGTGTCTCTTACCACTTTTTTCAGCTCTCACCAAACCGATTTCTTTCAACGATACGTCAAAAGATCATAAATTGTATCTAGTCAAAGACATTACCCTCAAAAATTAAAAAAAATTTCCCTTGTTCCCCGTAAATGAGGGAAATCTCCAAAAAAGTTACAATTTTAGAAATCGCTAATTTTCAATTTATTCAATTTTATACTTAAAACTAACATAACTTTTTCAAAAATTACCAAATCAATATGATTTTTTTTTATAGATGCATGATGTTTTTAACTATATTAGATATATTTTTTTATAAATTTGACCCTTTACCTGCCCACAGAGGGGGATTCAAAATGACAAATTAACTTTTAAAAGTGTTTCGTAAATACTGACACTTTTATATACAAGGTGATTTTTTTATCATAACCCACTCAATTACTAACATAATAATAATAATTTAAACATTTTTTTTTATTATTATCTTTAGTTACACATTATTCTTGAATTATTAACTATGTAATACTTTTTAAGTTCCTTCCTTATGCCTGGTAAGGGTATCAACTTTTTTTTTTTAAATGGTAACACATATTTTTAATTTAATAAAATGTTTGAGTTTTTAATTCAATAGTAAATGGCATTTGAATTTTTAATGAAATTTAATTTGTTTATTAGATATAAACATTTAAAGTTTCAAATATTTGAGTTAATATACAGGGTGTTCAGTAAGTCAGGAAACGGGTTTCTATTGTTCTCATTGTTACACAAAGGTTTACAAATACAGGTAGCTAATGGATTTTTAATGACATCGATATTAGCAGGTACACAGCATTGTTATTATCAATGATAGTAAGGTACATTGTTGTGAGTTTATAAATACACTAACTGACAATACATAAATTATATCTAATGATAGTCATAATTGATAATAAACAATCCGTGACTGTGATAGCAATATCATAAAAAATCAATTACCTACCTGTATATGTAATCCCTTGTGTATTATACCTGTATATTAACTCAAAAATTTGAAACTTTAAATGTTTATATCTAATAAACGAATTAAGTTATATTAAAAATTCAAATTCCATTTACAATTTAATTAAAAACTCAAACATTTTATTAAATTAAAAATATGTGTTACCATTTAAAAAAACAAAGTTGATACCCTTACCAGGCATAAGGAAGGAACTTAAAAAGTATTACATAGTTAATAATTCAAAAATAATGTGTAACTAAAGATAAAAATAAAAAAAAATTTTTAAATTATTATTATTCTGTAAATAATTGAGTGGGTTATGATAAAAAAATCACTCTGTATACCTTAAAATAAAGATTATGTAATATACTTTAAAATGGAAAAAAAAAAATTCGGACTTTATTTCATATATTTTAGTCTTAATATTCTTGATTTTATATTTTATATTTTAGCTTCGATGCGAAGCGGAGAAGGTATTAATTTTACTATGATGTGTTTTTTTTTTTTATGTCTGTTGCCACTTTTTCTCAGCTCTCACTGGACCGATTTCTTTCAACAATACGTCAAAAGATCACAAATCGTATCTAGTTGAAGACATTACCCTTTAAAATTGAAAAAATGTTCCTCGTTCCCCGCAAATGGGGAAAATATCCAAAAAAATTACAAATTTAAAAATCGACAAATTTTGTCATTTTTTTCACTTTTTTTTCTTAAAACTTTCATAACGTTTTGAAAAATCAACAAATCAACATAATTTTTTTTATACTAAAACCTTAGATATTTATCTTTCATTTGATATCATTTTTTTGAAAATTTATCACTTAACCTGCTCATCAGGGGGGATTTAAAATAGCAACTTTTTTACAAAAACTAACTTTTTCAACTTAATTTTTGAAAATGTTCCGGAAATACTATGTCCTTTAAAAATATATCAAATTAAAGATTATTTTATGTACTATAAAATGAAAAAAAAAATTTGTCCCAACATCTTATCTTCTATGTGCAAATGGCTGTCGAAATTAAAAAAAAAATGTAATGTTTGTGATAAAAATCACATTCTATCGGAATGTTTTGTTTACATAAAACTCCCATATTCAAAAATATACTATTTTAACAAATTTTTTTTTTTTAATTTAACACTATCTACAGATTTGCATCGAAGCGTTTTTTATGATAGTAATTTTAATCACTGTCAGATATCATCTATACTGGACCCAACTATGCCACGACCCAACTGTGCCGCCACCCCACTATGCTGGGTTTTTTTTATTTATTTATTTATTATTTATTATAAATTTTACAGGCAATAGCCCAAAAAATGCAATATGTATTAGACAGTTAACTGGACAACTTAAAATTATCTAATAACTAAAAATGAAACATTAATAAACTTAATCTTGACAAAGAGAAAAAGAAAAATTTAAACATAATCAAAAATTTAAATATTAAATAGTAAAGCTAAATGACTACATTAAAACTTTTTTTAAAGCATTTTTTTCTAAGAAAATAAGTGTCTTATCCAAAATCAATCACTCTGTATAGATTCAAATAATTAAAAAACTCGGGTATTAAAATAAATACATCTTAATTTTAGTAACAAACGTAGTTTACTGTAATCATTGTCATAAAACATATACATATTTACCTGTTTCATTATAAATTTGTTTAAGAACATTATCGTGTAATATATTGTTAACCTCTGAATGCTTTTTTAATAATTCTATCAAAAAATTTGAATTATAATACTTGTATCCATCATTTATTTTTTTACATTCTTCTATATATTCGGGAGTTAAATTCTAAAAAAAAAATGTATAAAACAAAAATCATTCTAATGTGACTATAAAAATAATACAATATAGATTTTATTTTAAAAAAATCTTAAGGTACCATAATTTCGAAATATAAAAAATTATATTAAAAAAATGACATTGTATGCACAATTCGCTATTTTAAATCCCTTTCCTAATAAGGGCAACGGTTTGATTTTCATAAAGAATATATCAAAAAAACTGTAGCTCGGCGTAGACATGGCATAGTTAGGACAAGTATATATAAGATGATATCTGACAGTATTTAATTCACTATCATAAGAAACGGTTCGAAACAAATCTATATATAGTGTATAATTGTTAGAACGAATTGTTGAATTATTACAAAAGCAAAATTAACTCCTATTTATTTTATTACATAGTATCTGTAATATATGGATAAATACTTTTTATAGTAGTTCATTTAATATTAAATTGCTAACCAATAATATAATATTGTAATTTATACGGAAAAATTATACAAAATTATGAAAAAGTTGTATATTTTGTTACTTCTATAACAAACGTGTATCAAAAGACTTGATGCAAAACTATTGTTAATTATGAATAAATTTAGTGGTTTACAAGGAATATTCATCGGAATATTTTTTTCTAACTAATTTTTGTGTCGATTTCAAATCTATAATTAGATTTTTTCTATTGGCTCTTTTTGACATGATTACTTATTAGTAAAAAACGTGTATTTACAAATAAAAAAACCCAGCATAGTGGGGACGTTGCATAGTTGGGTCCAGTATAGATTTAATCTGACAGTGATTAAAATCACTATNGTCGCGGCATAGTGGGGACGTTGCATAGTTGGGTCCAGTATAGATTTAATCTGACAGTGATTAAAATCACTATCATAAGAAACGCTTCGATGCAAATCAGTAGATAGTGTTTAATTCTAAGAAATTGGTGGATAATTACAAAAGCTACATTATCTGCTAGTTTCTTATTAATACCCTGATTAAGATAAAGTATGTCGAATGAAAAAGGGATTATTAAAAAATATTATTTCTCATAAAAAAATTGTGTTGTTTCATACACTTTTCAATGGGTTATAGCATTATAAAGTTAAAAATGTAACCAACCCAACCCAACATCAACTCCTATTTCCTTAATTATATCCAGATTAGTAATTCTTTTAATTATATATTATATAATTTTTATAATTATTTATTTTCAAATTATTATCGATTTTTAATATGTTAGAAGTAATCATTTTGACCCTACTTCCTTTTGTCCTTTAAAGTGAAAGTTTTAATAAAAAAAACCCAGCACAGGTGGGTCGCGGCACAGTGGTGACGTGGCATACATGGATCAAGTATAATGATATCTGACAGTGATTAATATCACTATCAAAAATAAACGCTTCGATGCAAATCTTTAGATAGTGATTAATTTTAAAAAAATTGGTGTTTTATTCCAAAAGCTACTTGATCTGCTGGTTTCTTATTAATATCCTGATTAAGATAAAGTATGTCGAATGAAAAAGGGATTATTAAAAAATATTATTTCTCATAAAAAAATTGTGTTGATTCGTACACTTTTCAATGAGTTATAGCATTATAAAGTTAAAAATGTAACCAACCCAACCCAACATCAACTCCTATTTCCTTAATTATATCCAGATTAGTAATTATTTTAATTATATATTATATAATTTTTATAATTAATTATTTTCAAATTATTATTGATTTTTAATATGTTAAAAGTAATCATTTTGAACCTACTTCTTTTTGTTCTTTAAAGTGAAAGTTTTAATAAAAAAAAAATGAATTTATTACCATAACTTTTAACTCAACTTGCAAGTTTGAAATAAATATTATTAAATAGAAAAAAATGAAATTGGTAGATTATTTCAAAAACAACAATAACACTTATTCCCTTAATTTTACCCCGATTTATAACTATAATATATGAATACATAATAATTACAGTAATTAAATTGAGTATGAAAGTGGTATTCAATAATATAATATTGTAATTTTTACGGAGATATTATAAAAATAAAAAGGAGTTGTATATTCATATACTTTTAATGCGTATACAAATTTAAAGGAATTTATGCAATACTTTTTAATAAAAAAATTTTGTTACTTATGAATAAATACACTAAACAAAAGGAACTTTCATCAGAAAAAAAATATACTTTTCTAAATAAACTTTTCGTGATGTTTTCAAATGTGCAATTAAACTTTTTCTATTACTTCTAAGTTTTAATATTATTACTTATTATTAAAAAATAAGTATTTACATATAAAAAAAAATAATTAAGAACAAAAAAAATTGTATTAAATTAATACTGATTTTGATTTTTAATATGTTAAAGGTAATCATTTTAAAAAAAAAAAAAAAAAAAAAAAAAAACACATCATAGTAAAACCAATACCTTCTCAGCTTCGCATCGAAGCTAAAAAATGAATTTGTTACCATATAGTTCAACTTGCAAGTTTGAAATTGACATTATTAAATAGAAAAAAATGAAATGTTTAAGATTAATATGAAATCAGGAAATTTCATAATTATTATTTATNATTTTTAAGATTAATATGCAATCTGGAAATTTTATAATTACTAATTACAGTACATTTATCAGAAAAATTCGATTTTTTTGCATTTTTATCGTAATAGATAACTGAAATAGAAAGAATAGTAATCATTTCCTAATAACTTTTGATGTTTAAAAATATTCTGCAATTGAATTATTCAATTTTAATAATTTACTTTAACTAAATGAACCAATCAAAACAAAGTAGTTAAAAAGATTTACTAAATTGAGCGTATTATAAAATATAATTATAATTGTAAAAGTCCATCGTTAAATTCAGGTGAAACTAAAAATCATTTTTTTTTTAAATTTATGATTTATATAGCAACATATTACAAAAAGATTTGGCATATTATAGACTGGTAGCACACACAAATAGAGTTAAAAAATTAATAAATTATAAAGTAATATTATTTACTTTTGTAGTTGTATACTTTTATCATATTAAATCTAATTCGACAATAAATACTTTAAGAATATTAAAATNTAATTCGACAATAAATAATTTAAGAATATTAAAAATTAATGATTTTAATTGTTTGTATGGATAAAGCTGGTTAAGCTACTTTTTATTTGAATAAGGAATATTTTTTTGATTTTTAAGATTAATANAATATTTTTTTGATTTTTAAGAGTAATAACTTAAACTAATCATTAACTTAAATATCATAAACTTAAATGAATCATTTGACGTATCGTTGAAAAAAGTAGGTCTAGTGAGAGTTGGCAAAATAAATCGTAGCCACAAAAAGAAACCACATAGTAAAATAATATTAAAATGAATATAAATTTCTTCTCACGAGGGGAGACGATAGTGATAAGATCCTTTATATTTATTGAAATTATTGAATCTAAATGAGATAAATAACAAAAGGTTTGAAAATTCTATTTTAACTCAAAAAAAAAATGCAAAATTTTGG